TAAGAGTGCTATCTAGCAAACAATCTTCCCTGCCTCTCACCTGAACAGGTCAAATTAAATCAAGTTGACTTTTCAGCTGGGTAAAGCAAGCAGGATTCGGTTACAAGAGCAGACCTGGTAATTTCTTTCTAGTTGCTCTGATATTTTTCTCTAGAAATGTGGTTATTTATCAAGTGATCTCGGCTCAAAGTTATGGAAGTGTCTATTACAAGGAGAAGGTGTGAAGACACTCTACATGGAAGACAAGGCTACTGACCCTGATTTCAAGAGAACTGGAACCAAAATTCTCCCTGGACAAAATAGTGATCTAAACCATCTGTCTAAAGGTTGTTCTGGAATGCACTGCTCTGAATCTGCTTGTTCAAGCTCTTTTATTTTGTGGAACATATTTGATGCTAGCAGAAAAGGAATAAAAAGAAGAGGAGTAAAAAAAAAGAAAGAAAAAGAAAAAAAAAGAAAAAAAAGAAAGAAAGAAGAGAGAGAGAGAAAAAGAAATTGGTAAAAAAAAAGAAAGGAAAAAAAGAAAGAAAAAAGAGAAGAGAGAGAGAGAAAAAAAAAATTGGTAGTTCTGTTCCAAAATACTCATTCGGAATACAGCTTATCATGGCCCAAGACATGTTCTAAAGACTGTTTAAAATTGTAAATAAAAGGGAGGCAAACATAAAATGAAAACAAAGCTGCCCAAAATATAAGTGGGGGCACATTATTCAAGAACTCTAGAATATGGGTTCAAATCCTCTGAGAGGCAGGTGAGAACTGCATTTGAGCCTTTCGCGTGAGATCAAAGTGCCCTAACTGCTGTGCAAAAGGAAATCACAACACAATTGCCGCAGCACTCAGAATCTACTCCTTCATTTGTAGTGTTTTGTTTTTATTAAAAGTAACCAATAGTCAGGTGGGGGAGTTGGTGGAGGAAAAGCTTTGCTTTTGGCTAAAATCAACTTTTGAACCCAAACAGTAATAATTAAAAATAAACAACAAAAAAACTTTGTCAAGACAAGCAATTACTTTTTTTTTCTCCTCCTCATCCTCAAAAAGCATTTTACTTTAGCTGAGGGAAAAAAAAAAAAAAAAAAACAGAGACCTTATTTTCTATGCATATATTTGGAAAATAAGGTTCAAGGAACAACCTGAACATTCATTTATTTCCACCAGCTAGCATGCTAGTACAAAGAAACCAATCCAGCTGATACTGAAGTCAATGCAAAGGCTTTCCTTATCTTCTGTAGGACCTGCATAAGAACTTTACATGCCCCATTTAATCAGCTTTGTCAAAATGCCTAGCTACTCCTAAATACTCTAAGCTGTCCTGCTTAGATCTTCATTTTGCCAAGCTGTGCAGCAACAGAGTGATGAACTAATGAACAAATCATTTATTTACAGGAAGACCTTTTTGTTGTTGTTGTTAACTGTAGCGTCAAACTACTATTTAAATCCTCCTGTAATATTTACAGTAAGAACTGTGACATGTGGAAAATTGTTTGGACTCCAGACTAGAGTATATTAAAACAGCAGCAACAAGCCTGGCAACAGATCACATTCCTATTCTGTAGCTGGTAAATGATTGAAAGTACTGCCAAATATGCCATGCCCCCATTTTTAAGCCAAAGATAAATGCAGTTGAAGTTTCTTGCCAAGACTGATGTGCCCGAACGCCGCATGTTGGGCCAGGCAAGGATCCTGCAAGTAATTCCCAGCCGTATTTTAGTAGTCTGCTTCTTCAAGAACTGACAGATACTGAACTCCAAATGCTTGCCCCTCCACTGTTATTATAGTTCATCCTGGAAAACATCAGTGTTACAACTTTGAAAAATGGCACAGACACCTGTTTTAGCTCTATAATTATACTCAGGAGCATCATATCCTTCTCTCACAAAAGAACAAAGCATACTAGTATAGTGAAATCCCTAAGAAGTATGTTCTACAGTTAGTAAAATAAGGAGTTACAGAGATGAAATAATTATATTTCACAAACTTAATGGAAAATTGTTCTAAACAGTCAAAGAGTGTTCCTTTAACAAGCATAATTTCTTGCACAAACATACTTGTAAAAAGTCTTTGAAGATTTCTCAGAAATTAAAGGTTTACCTCAGGGAATTGTTTTTGAAATATTCTTATTTTGATGAGGATTTAAATAAACATTAGTACAGGAAAATGCAGTACTGTGCTAAGGTATTTACAGATCTGTAACAAAAAGTTTAAATGAGATTTAGGCAATAATGTAAATCACCCTTTTGTGAGTCTTGATGTTGAAATACTTTGGCTTGAACCCCAAAGAGTGCTCTAAAGAGCACTAAAAGAAAGTATTTTCCTTCCCAAAGGAAGGAAAGCTCTGTCACTATTTCCTCATTCTACTCTTAAGACACTATACAACAAGATATCATTTAGCAGTCTCAGAAAACAGCAGTTCAGAGGAATACACTATTCATTGATCACAAAATGCAGTTAGATAAGAGATGGACAGATTACGATTCAAATTAAGGCTACACAGAAAACTGGTTCCACCACTTTTTTTTTAAAAAAAAGTTCTTGTCCCAAATCAGGGTTAGCAGCTAAAAAAATTGTTTTTCCCCCTCAAACGGGACATGTTATGGGGCTCAATCTATAATGCAAGACACTCTGTGACACCAGCCTCTTGCAGCAAAAAGCAGAGCTACGTAATGTTATGGATGGTTACGGTTCACTACTGCAAAAGCTTCA